CTCGACAAAATGATTCCGTAATGAGATCGTAGCATTTTCTTAGTAAGAAGGGAATCCAAAGGAAGTATCCAAAGTGAGAACTATTATTAACGTACGTCACTTGTCAGAACATTGGGCAGAAACAATTGAATGCAGATTTCATTTTAATTTTCTTTTTTTTTTTCCACCGACATAACTTCCTCTTCTGTACAGTTCAATTGCTAGGGACTGTTTGGAAGTTAGCAAAATAATTTGATCAATTTTCATTGATGGGACAATTTTGTTAAATTGTTTAACTTAAAATATAACTCAAATTTAATTTAACTAAACTCTCATCAAAATTGTCAATTTAATTAAATAAAATCAATCAATCATATTCATCAATATTATTAACATAATTAAATAATATCAATTAATTATTAACAAACATCAATGATGCGACATGAAGCATGTAAAGAGAGATTGAATACAAAGATGTTCAAAGAGAACAGAGATAAACTTTCATTCAATAATCTAATAAAAACTGATGTTCTCCAACTTCCTACGGTTATCAATACAGTAATGCTCACCTATCCACGGTGGACACATGTCACCGCTTATGTGGCATGCACACATTGGTGATGTATTTTTCTGAACATATTAACATCACCAATGTGTGCATACCACATAAACGGTGGACATATTAACATGTGTCCACCGTGGATATAGGAGCATTACGCGTTACCAATAATAGCACGACTTAAAAGACCATAATACTACAAACCCAACACACAATATCTATAATTACAAATAAACCCCTACACAACATAAATAATATCACTAACAACCGGAACCGATCAAGAAAGGCCAACACACTCTCGTCGACATCAAAATCAATTTTAGTTCACAATCTCCCGTATTTTTTTATTATTATTTAAATGCAAACTCAAAAACTCGTAAATCTTCTACTCAATCAACTTTGTCTAAAATTAATTTTTCAAACAATAACTTCAATTAAAACCGATTTTATTCATATCCAATCACCCCCTTACCTTAATGCTTACAGGTGCTAACCAACACTCAACAAAGAGAACAGAAGCAAGAGTCGAGAGCCGTCGGATCAACACAGTGAGTACAATCCAACGGTCCAGATTCCAGTTTGAACAACACCCATACCAGTACAATCAAATCTTCCAACAACACATTACAGAAAAAATAAAGAGCAAATGTACTAATAAGTAATAATAATAACCCAAGAATCCTTTGCAATGAGAAGCATAATAATAATACATCAAACATGAAAACGCCCCTAAAAAATCTGAATAAAAAAATCAAGGGCTTTTACATAAATATGAACTGTCCACAAGTCTACAAGGATATTACATAAAACAAAAAAACAAAAAAAAAAAAAGGGGAAACTGAAAAATTTTATTGACTCAATGATTGAGCAAAGAAAACATCAATATCAATGACCTCATCTCCATTTTCATCCTTCTCAACTCTTACCACACAATCCATGTAACAGCCCAGCCAACCCGTAAAGCGGACAATATCACACTACCGGTTAAGATGTTGGGCTGTTACAATCCAGCTCAGCTTCTTCCTTCAATAGGGGCCTCCAATTTTTGCTGTATACTCTCTCTCTCTCTCTCTCTCTCTCTCTCTCTCTCTCTCTCTCTCTCTCTGAACCCCTTTTTTCACTAAATTTCAACTAACATATCATCAAAGCAACTAACATTATTACATAATTTCCTCACTACTTTATCCAATGTAGACCGAGAACGAGATAAAACGGGCAAAAGATGGAATCGGATTAAATAATGTATCGGCTAAAAAAGAAAGGAAAATAGAAGTAGATAAGAAAAAGGGTACTACTATAAGCTATATCTTTTTCTTGAATGCACTAGCATTGGGTAAAATTGGCTCTCTAATGAGATAACCTGAGTAACGAATGAATTATATATTATGTGGGGCGTTTCGAAAGTAGAGGCATAAAAAGTTGTACCGATTGTCAAAAGGTCTCCTAATAGCTGTAATGCTTCACAGAAGACTCCAAAACCTCCGGACTAGGACAAATGATCTCCCTAACTCGAACGCCTTTTCGGTAAATCTTGAAAGTCGGTACTATTCTAACATTCTCGGCATGAGCTATTGCGGTGCTTTCTTCAATATCCACCTTCAGATAAATAATGTATATAATAAGGCCAGCATATTTTCACTTACGAGTAGAAAAACTTCACTAAACATTTTATTTTACCTTGAGAAAATTAATAGATGGATATCGCGTGCAAAGGGTGTCCAAAAACGGGGATATTTGTCCGCACTCTACACTCGAGCCCGTTTTGAAGTGGACCACAGATACACCTGAAAATGTTTTCACATTTTCAAGATCACCAAAATTGAATGAGCATAAAAAAAGGCCCGAATGAATCAAAATACAGATCTGAGCGTGTGCTTGGATACAAAAATATCCGCTCAAAATGAGTTTTTTTTGTTAACAAGAGTTAATTTCGAAAAATGTGGTATGTTTGGTTGTTTAGTGGGATTTAGATTTTATATTAAAATAAAATAAATTAAAGTTGAGTTAATGTAAAAGTAGGAGAGAGATGATGTGAAATGATGATTACTTGAAATTATGTAAAGGAATGAATAACAAAATAAAGTTGATTTGATGTGTAAGAATGATTGGTTGGTATTATTTAATTATAATTATAATATTGAGGATAGTGAGGTTGAGTTAAAGTTGAGTTAAATTTTGAGTATGGATTAAATACCAGGTGAAAAAATCGCGGCCCGAAACTGCTCGAGGCTCGAGACAGACTCTACTTCACCGCCGAATTTCATGTTAAATATTTCCTCCCCGCGCGATTTCTTTAAAGCGACTTGTGCATGAAAAAGCGATTCGGCAACTTCTTTGTTATCCGGGAGTTCCCTTCTCAAAACGTCGTAATCTTTCACAGCTTCATTCCATCTTTCGAGCTACACAGCAAAAGCAATTATCGAGATATTGAGTTTAGATTTTTAACCTAATTGTTTCAAAACTACAATTATCTTCTCAAAATTTCAAATGTAGTAATGTACCTTGAAGTTAGAAGCAGCCCTTCTTAGCAAAGCTTTCGTGTAACTTGGCTGAATGCGAAGGGCTTGATTACAGTCATCAACCGAGCGTTCCCACTGGCCCAGCTTAAACCAACAAGCAGCTCGATTGCAGTACAGAACAGAGTTTGTGGGGTCTAACCTGAGGCCCTCCCCATAAGCCGAGCAGGCCTCAGTAAACCTCTCGGATTTGAACAAATCATTCCCACGAGCACGCGCACGGCCCACCAATCGTACATTGTTAAGCAAAATCGAGATTTCAATATTATGGTGGTCAATCTCGCTAGCTTTCTCAATTGCCGAAAGAGCACTATCGAACCTGCAACGGATTAATTCTTCATATTCATTTCAAAGTTTCAAAGCCCTTTGATTTTAATCAAATAATGCACAACTAAAAGAATTACTTCGAAATTTTTTCAGTTATTTTAGGATTAAAAAACAAAAAAAAAAAATGAAAAGAAAATAAAGAAAGAAATCACCTTCCCAAGGCTAACTCGACCTGGGCCCTGACGACATACACGTACGCTTCTAGAAGCATACCAAATATCCTCGACTGGGAATAGAAGCTCATACACGGAGTGGATGAGGGGATGTTTGATAGAGCCAAAAAAGCTTCATCTATTTGGTGGAGTTTCAAAAGAGCTTCCGCCCGACAAGTCCAAAGCTGTAAATTCGAGCTAAAATTGTGTGAGAGCGACTTATTTCGGATTCATAATAGCGCAATAAAAAAAATGGAACATATTTTCAAAGAACACACATGAGGCGAAGCATCGGCTCCCGAGGCAATGGCGGCATCTACTTCTCTCAATGTGCTTTTCCAGTCACCAACTTTTCGAGCATCAGCACATTTGCTCAGGTGCTTCTCTATGCATCGAAGCTTCTGCATATCTGTAGGGTCCAGCGGAAGCCCAGGAAAGCAAATGTGCTTCCTTGCATTCTCAGCATATCCTAAACTGTAAAACTTTCAGGTTAGAAGTGCGTACATAGTAATAAACGCTTTAAAAAAAAAAGAGCCGTAATGGGCAAAAGGAATGTACACCAAACACCGAGATTCAATTAATTAACTCATCAACCAAAACAACAGTAAGTTCAATAATACTGTGTGAAGTAACTTGTCGTGAAGAATGAAAATGTAAAGAAGATAGTTTATTATCGTTTCAGTGGATTCACTCGTATACAAATGTAAATAAACAAGAACGAGTTCACTGAGTTCAAAGGATGCCGTTCTAATACAATGCCAAATTCCATAAAATATGGACCTAACAAATGGACCTATAAGCCGGAACCACAAACTCAAAGAGCCAAACAAACGTACAGCATAACAGGTTAAACATCACTGACAAAGCACGTATGCAACGAGGGCCACACCACAATTAATGACAGTGACTTGGACACAAGAAACAATCTGCCAAAAAAAGGATGGTCATCTAATCCACCCTGAACCAGATCTAGCAACAGAAAAAAAATAAGCGAAAATGTTCAAGCCAGTGTAGATCAATTAATTGCTCCCACAACATTTTTCAAGCCAATTGATTGAAATCAGACCTCATTAAACAATCACATTGCATCTAATGTAGATAATAATCACTACATTCTCAAAACATACCCACATTGCAGCTATGATGAGATAGCAAATGAAAGAACCATAAGCATCAAGATTCAAGACTGACAATTAGTACACAAATATGCTATAAAGATTTGAACTTTATCCGAAAAAAATAATTCACCTAAGGAGCAGAGATCCCAATCTATGATGCGCCCTCACATAGCCTGGGTCCAATCTAATGGCTTCTTCACATTCTCTGGCGGCCTCCGGCAAACGCCTCAGCCCCATTAGGGCTGCCGAACGGTTAAAATGATAAGCGGCATTGCCCGGCAAAATGGCAATAGCCTTGTCATAAAGACTCAGAGCTTCTGCAAAATTACCCTTTTTGTAACAATCATTTCCCAGCCGCTTTAACTCCTCCGGATCACCGCCTCCGGCAAACACTGATCTCCCGCCAACCATAGGTCCCCTCGGGTAGTGCGTGGGCCCACTGTCGAGGCTCGGTTTGGATGCAGGCCCACCTCGCATTATGCTGCCATGGCCATAGTTCACGGAGGAGCCAGAGCCCAAGACATCAGTTTTTGTGGACCGGCTGGCCATGCCGGTTTTCACAACCCGGCCCGAGGGGCAGATGTTGCCGGTGGGGAGCAAATTTACGGGCGGGGACGTGACGGAGCTGGACCCAGACCCAGACCCAGAGTACAGATGCTTAAACGACCCGGATGACTCAGACCGCGTGTGCCCCGGCCGAGGGTTCCGGATCGCGGGCGGCGAGCTCTCGGCGGAGAGCTCGCCCGAGTGGCTGTTCGGGTTCGAATCGGACTTCCTGAGTGCACTCGGGTTGTACCCGCCCGAGTATCGGCCAGAGACCGATCCCGACGAGCTGGAGCTGCTGCTCGTGGTGGTGGCGGTCGCAGCGATGCCACCGCCGGTCCGGGTCCGGAGCGGCGACACGGGCGAGCCCAGATCGAGTTCCCGAAAGTCCGGTTTATCGGCATTCACGCCGCTATCTTCTCCGTCGCGGGCTAAGGCGTTCCTCAGCCGATCCGACAGCGACGCCAGCCCTAATTCCTGTTTATTCCTCCCCGACTGTGACGACATTTTTTCCGTTCACACCGCACTAACCTTCTCTCTCTTTCCCCTTTACCATTACACGCATATATACAAGACGGGCCTCTTTGAAATTGCTCAAGGAGGTGCAATTTATCGGGAATGCAAACAGGGGCAGCACAGGCAGCAACAATGGCGGTAGGCGGAGAGATAAAGGAGGAGTCTTTATGAATAGAGGAAGGTAGAAATTAGTGGGGATCTCGTGATTTTTTCAAGCGATGAAGCAAAGAATGAATGAATGTGGGTGTTGAGAGAGAGAGAGAAAGCTGTTTGGATTTCTCTTATAGAGACTAGAGAGAGTAAAGAGAGAGAGAGAAACCAAAGGGGTTTTACAGGTGAAGGGATGGTAAAAGGAGAGTGAAAGGTGAAGAAGAAAAAAGAAGTGAGGTTTATATAATTATATTTTCTTATTCTTTTTCTATATGCTAACATTGTATAATGCCGCCTAACTATTGTACATAACTAGTAATGTGACCTGCCCTGCACGAGACATAAATATTAAATGAGTTATTTTCACAACTTTGTTCGTTTAAGTCTAAAAAATAATAGAATTACTATTTATTTTTTACCTCTTTTTTTTTTGGTACAGGGACCTTCCGGTTTCCGAATCCACATGGGAACCGACTAATCTGGAATCGAGCCGGGTAGGACCACAACGACAGCAAAGCTCTCCCTCAAGAGTTTTAACACTGCAATGTTAAGTCTAAAAAATAATAGGGTTACAAGTTTTTTCTACATCTCTTAACCAACGTTTTTTTAGGCAGAACATTAAATATGAGCATGTTAGGGCTAGCTTGTAAAATAATTAATATATTATCTCACTAAATATTTATACAAATAAAAATTTAATTTTAACATATAAATTTATCCCTTGATAAAAGAGAAAGTAACATTTTTCCTTATTTTTGTTCACCATATAATATATAATATTTAATTATTATTTTATTATATAATAAAAAGGAATACTGCTAAATAGTGTAGTAGAATTGTTATAAAATTATATAAATCATTTTTACAATATGGATATAATATCTTTTTTGTGATTTGTTAATATAACTATAATATATTCTTAATGATATAATAATATGAGATACGGATTTACATAATACTATGGATTTATTCCTTAGTGTTAAGATATTGAATTAGGTACTAATTTTTAATTTGTCTCTTTACATATTGAAAATAATCATGTGATTGAGTAGAGATAACAATTATCTATAAATTCCTTCATTTAAGAAATAATTTTTCAATTGGTCCAAGTGTTGAATGCAGTCCGATTTTTTTGTAACTAAAATGAGAAAATATTTTGAATTTCAAATTTTCACTTCAAAACCACACGTAAATTTGGATGCCGATTTTATTAAAAATGAATTCAATGAAACACATATTTTTGGGACATTTAATGCTACCATATTTTATGATTTAAAAAATCTAAAAATTTTCTTAATATGGTGTACAATTAATTATGAGTTGACTTTTCTTTCTAGCAATTTCAGTAAATAAGATGTCTTTTTATATATGTATAGTTATAATTCATTATACATTTTAATAAAAATACATATTTAAATGAGCAAATGTATTTCTTGTTAATAAAAATACATATTTAAATGATCAAATGGTATTCATGCATTGTCGTTGTTTTTTAATGAATAATATTTTAGGGAAATGTTAAGGTCTCGTTACGTAATTATTCTGTCGGAGTTTGTCATTGTTAGATTATCATGTAACCGTCGGAGATAGTTGATCTAACGATTACAAATCTCGACAGAATAGTTATGTAACGGGACCGTAGCATCTTCTATTATTTTAAAGCCATTCATTAAATATTTTTAATGAACACATATTTATATGATTAAATGTAATTTTCCCATTTATGTTGTTTTCGAAGGTATATTTGTTTTCGAATGTACATTTTTTATGAAAGTATACATATATTTATACATAAAATTTGATGACATAATGGTTAGCTTGGTTTAATAAAAGACCATATAATTTTTGTTTAATCTCTTTTTTTTTATTAATTAGTCAATTATACATTTATTTTTTATTTCCTGAATTTCTTCAAGAAATATTGGGGCACACTAGTCCACAGACTCCACCCACTCTCATTGATGGGCTGTGGCTGTGGATAGTTTGGCTTTAATTATTATTATTATTTTTTATTTTTTTTAATTACTCATGTAGGGGTAGTTTCGGTAAGAAACGAACAAAATTTAATGGTGTGTTTTAGAAAACATTGCAAGAGGTAAGGTTTTTTTTCTTCACTAATACAAAGGCCTTTTATTTTTATCTCCAATATTGTGATTTTTTATTTTATTTTTTATTTATTTATATATATATATATATATATTTTTTTTTTTTGGTCAAAAGGCATCTTGAATAAACTTGTCTTGAAAGGAAGAGTGGGTAGAAATTTTGTGTAACTCCTTTTTTTTTAAGGTTATATTATATAATTGAGTTCAAAAATTATTTTTTTTTTATGATTAACAAATATAAATTTCCTTTTCTTTTTTGGGAAGAAGAAAACATAAGCTTTCAAGTAAATATTGCTCTAGGCAGTCCTTCACTGTCCTCCCACTTTATACGGCTGTTGGTTGTTCATATTCAGCTGTTAGCTATTTGTATTCAGCGTATGGCTGCTCTTTTGTACATTTGTTCGATTATTTATAATATCTCTATCGTTTCAAAAAAAAAGTAAACATTGAAATATAATTTTCTTGAATTTGGAATTCGAAGACTACGCGCCTAGACGCGAATGTACCTAAAAAAACATTTCAGTTTTGAATTGTTCGATTCTAAAAATCTTATTCGGGAAATTAAATTTTTCGACCACTGAAAGTCAAAGATTTATTGTAATGTCATCGATGAGATTTAGTCGATAAAGCCAAATGTAACTAAAAGTATTTTCCATTAATTGCACTATGCTCCAAAACTTAATTTAAGTCGTTCATACCGAAAAACAAGTTTATCGACAATAAATGAAATAAATAATATTAAAGTAATTTATTATAATATTATTACATTGTTTACTATATTTGTAATGAGGTTATGGACTAAGAAATTGTAATAATGTAACATGATAAAATAAAAATAATTTTATTGTCCTTTTGTTTTGCATAGAGTTTAACACAAGCACACGATCACGTAATTTTTCAACAAATTTACATATTTTATCAATGAGATGTCATATTAAAATGGAAATTTTATGATTAGAAAAGATAAATCCTCTTGTTCCTTTTTGAAAATAATACATATATATATGAATTGGTTCAAATAAAAACTAGTCCTGGCGTGTGAATCGTATTTGATGCTATTTTTAATTGTGTATGATGCTATTTCTAATATATACACCATAACTAAAAATAACACTAAAACACAATCAATCATAATACTACATATAACTAAAAATAGCGATTCTCACGGTTCTCAAACTAGAACTTAATTCTCATTTAAACCAGGTCTCGTTATATACTACCTCCTATTCAAAATAAATGTCGTTTTGACTTTTTTGATTAATCCATTTTGTTATGTATCTAGACATAAATATGTCTAGATACATAGCAAAATGGATGAATCAAAAAAGTCAAAACGACATTTATTTTGAATAGGAGGGAATATTAATTTTTATTGAAATACAATTTGCTTGAATTTTGAGTTTGAAGACTCAAGCTTTCGACGCGAATAGATCTAAAAGCCATTTGAGTTTTGATTTGTATGAAAAATCTTATTCGAGAAAATAAATTTTTAATTGCTTGAAGGTCAATTATAATTGTGATATTATCGATGAGATTTAGTCGACGGAGTCAAAATATAATTAATAGTACTTTGCCATAAATGCTCTATGCTCCACAATAAATTTATCGGCAAAATATTGAAATATATGATATTGAAAGTATTAAATAGAATATTATTACATATTTCCGTTGTTTGTAATGAGGCAAATCTTATCTCTAGTCGAAAAGAAAAAATTAATTTTACAATATTACATATTAGTATAACGTCCGTGTATTACACGGGTGCTTGCTATTTTTTTTTCCTTAAAATCTATAATTAATGAGAAAAAGTAGTTGAAATTTTATATACCTTTTACAAAAATATATATATTATTATATATTTAGTATGAGGTTTTTTAGTTGTGCGACTTACATGTGTTATATTATAATAATTTTTTAACTTACAACATATAACTACATTATACATAAACATATCAATTGATAAATAATTTTATTTTTCTAATGAATTTTAATAAATATTATCATTGTTTATTATTATAATATTTATTTCATATATACAATATGGATATCAAATCGAAAATCATCAAAATATGATTAATTTGATATATAATATATGTAAAACCGATAAGAAATAATAAAGTTATCAACTTTTAAAATACATTTACAATTCCAAGCTAATTGAATGAAGCAAATCAAAATCAGGGATATATTGGTCACTTAATGTCTCACTATGTAAAATTACAAAGAATTAAAGGGTTATATTAGTACAAGTGATATTAAAATACCTAAGTTAGATAAATAATATTTATGGAATGTCCGAACCTAGATTATTAATTACTAGTGCGTGGCCCGTGCGATGCACGAAAAAATAATATTACGATTGTGTTATAAATTAAAAATAAAATAAATTAATCAAAATTTATCCATTATTTTAAAATTAAACCGTGTTGGATACAGTCCGACCAGATGGACTGAGAACTAATTTATAATTAGTCTAGTTCACCTGAATAAAATATTTGCTATTGAATCGTCAACACCAGTCGGTTGAACGGGTAGGATCGATACAATTTTCTAAATAAATTTTGTTATATTTAAAATTATTTTAAATAAAATTTAATAAAATAGAGATTTATAAATTGTTTATCAATTAATTTAAACATTTGAATTTTTAAATTGTTTAGATATTTAAGTAACACATTTAATTCAAATTTATTACAAAAGTACCACATATATATATATATATATATATATGTATAT